TGGGGGGTGGGGGGGAATTTCCCCTCATTCCCCTGTGCTTGTGAAAGAAAGGCATTGCTCTGGATTTCACTTCCTGATCCATTTCTATAATGTATTCTCCATGTACTATATTCCTTTGGGCTACTAGCATTGCCACCGATTCCCTAGTGGATTACCCCTAGGTATACATAAGGAATGCACTCTAGAGAGGAGAGACAGGAAGTTAAACGGTTGACTATATCATGGGGGTGTCTTCAGGACAGAAAGTGAAGGGAAATATCTCCAAAAAGAACACAGACATCAATACATATCGTGAAACAAATTGTTTGCCACCATATTAAAAAATAAAGACAAGGCAAATGGTATTCCAAATACATGTCCACTTTTAGGTAAGATGAATCTTAAAAGGCACTATTTACCTATTTTTATTTTCTGTTTAATTCAATTGACTGCAGAAACCACCACAATTATCTTTTCATAAGTATCTTTTTGTTGTTGGAATAATCACACCTTCACTGTAATAGCAAGCACGATCTAGTGACCAAACAATGTGCATAACACCATGAACCCACAGATCAGCAATATGCTATTTGATTATAGATAAGTAGATGGTGTTATCACTAGCTGAACTGAAAAAAAAAAATCTAAGAGCAAAAGTAAATATGTTCATATATTTCAAGTGAATTAATTATATGAGTATAGGTGTAGAGGGAATTTAAAAATCATGTCAGTTGTTTTGCAGGAGAAAATTAATTATCTTGCTACCAGCCCATCACCATGTTTCCCTAACATCCAAAGAAAGAAAACAATGGCCATTAAACATTAAGCTTTTAAGCAACTTTATCAATATATCTTTGGATATATACACCATATTGTTACATTCGCAGCTGAGCAAGTATTGTGTGAATAAACCTTTTAAAGCTTTTGACATATATCACTTGCAGTCTTCCAGATCCTTTAGACTTCTCATGTGACTGAAATCCTTCAATTTTAACATAGTTTTATATTAAGGGTTATGGGTCCCTTTTGTATTATTAGAGGAGTTTTTTCAACTTTTGGGCAATACTTTGAAGACATGTTGGTTGATGACCTAGTCACACAAATGGAGTAAACAAACAGACTGAAAATATATTACATAGGGATGGGCTCTCTTTCATAGTAGAAAAGTATATCTGTTATCAGCATGTTCAGCATTGTGTTTTCCTCCCATTAAACATAGGGTAAGGTCTGAATTTTACAGTGACAGTTTATTCACGTCTATACCAGAGTGGATACCTTACATTATAATCACTGAATGTGCTCGAAGGAATAAAAATAAACCCTGAACTATGCACACTGTTTTTGTGTGCAGTGCATTTGGTATTTTTAAAGTGCCCTTTATAAAATAGGGAAGGGTCTCCTAGGTAGACATATGCTTAAGTAAATTAACCATGTTTAGACTTTGTACACTTGGGCTATTGTCTATATAAAAGTCAGGTGTACAGCAGGCTTTTACAAAGCATTTGGTAAGTTCACAATAGCTTTTTGGAAGCCTTTAAACCATTCTTCAGTTTTAGTGAGATGTTAGTGGGAATGTAGGCTGTCCCTTTGAACACACTACTGCCAGTCTTCAGAACACCTTCTGAAAGTTTCAGCACTACTGGAAACTTATTGAAAGTCAGCTGAAGCTTGTTTAAAGTAAACAACCAGCAGGGGATCTCTGTTTAGCATTCCCAAACTGTAGCTGAAAGTTGCTTTAAGGCTAATTTCACATATGTGCAGGGCAGGAATGCATGCATAATAATGCACATTCCTGACCCGCGAGCGTAATACGCTGCTTTTCAGATGACACATGGGGGGTACCATTAATTCCTAATGGCTCTCCCACACATTAGAAAATGTGGCACTTTTTTAAAAAAAGGGTTTTCTTTTCTTTTCTTGTGGAAACAGTAGCCAATTCAAACAAATGGGCAGCAGTGAATGTGCAAACATGAACATACGCTCACATAGGTGAACCTAGACTCAAAGCTTTATCAAAGCTCCTTGAAGCTTGCTATAAACACTGATCTTATAGAGGCATTAAGGTAAAAAAAGATTCCAGAGCCCTACAAATTTCCAAAAGCTGGTGATTTTAAATATCTTCAAAAAATTGTCTTGGTTGCAAATTAATTAAATAAAAATATGGGTAAATTTATATTCATCCCAAGCTCCTCTGTGAAGATTATCAATGTTCATTTTGCCTTCCATGCTGCCTCAGCTATTCAAATGATCTGACACATCTTCTGACACACTAATAAGCACAAGTAAAAAAACAGGAAAAGGAGGCGATGGGCAAAGAACTCCACAGTGAGGCCCGGGAAAAGAATATACTTTAAGTTACAAAGTTCAAAAATAACCCTCCACTTGGGTTTGCCATACTGGATTTGTGTGGATTCCCTATTCAATAAGCTGACATTTCACAATATACAACACTCTGGAACTAGCTGTGTTATTAACATGATACCCTACCTTTAAGGCATTAAAGATTTCCAAACAAAACACAAGAAAATAAAAACTTGCAACTTTAACACTAATAGATCTAAATTATGCACTACAGAGATATGGACATTACGAAAAAGCAGGCCATTTACATCACATAAAGCAAATAAGGGTATTAAAATGCTTAAAAATACAACAGCAAAATGTACTTGGCAGCAAAGTTGGCCGGGGCACATAAAAAAAAAAAAAATCTACAATGCAGGTGATGTGAAATATATGTGTGTGTGTGCGTTTTTGTTTTTAAGTGACATATGTTTACCCAGTCCTTTAACCTAATACTGCCTTTAAAAATAAGTGCAGGTCAGTAAAAAAAAGTTAAAAATAAAAAAAAAAAATCCTTAGGTGCTCTGAGAACTGTCTACGGGTCTAGCAATACACAATTTAAGGTTTACAATTTTTGTTAGCAGGAACATTACTTCCAAAGATGCAAGACACATTTCAACTAGAGACCCAGGAGGTAGAGCAGTGGGGGAGGAGTTGACACTACGCCATGTAAATCCTGAGAAATTCCATTGAGTTACTGAGCATATACATTGCACTTGTATTTAAAAATGTGTTCTTGTTTCTTGACAAAAATATTAGGCATATTTTTTTCCACAGACAGCAATTATTCTGTGAATCCTGTAAAAAGTTGAAAAGTTTGCTTCTAAAAACAAATATGAAAACTTTCCATGTATTAAAACGGTAAAAAGTTGAAAAATGTGAAGGTTTCAACCATGCAAGATTCTGTGTCCCTGGAATTTCATTGAGACTTGTGTAGACAAAAAGAAACATATTTTTCTCCACTCAGTGGTTCTACAGGGAAAGTATAGAGTCTATGATGGAGATCCTGTGACAGCCCAGACCTAAGTGGAACAAGCCCTGAAGTCTAGCTAGGACAACATCCTATTTTAAGAACTAGAAAAGGAGATACCAACACCTATACTAAAAATACCTAAGTGCTTATAATCCAGTTTGTCTTTGAGAAACATCACCATAAAACATCAGATTAATGCATTAAATAAGTCTACAAAGAGAATTCACTGAACGCCAACTTTGAAAATGCAGTTAAATTTGATAATCTGACACGCACTTTCAGTTAAGCACTTGCTCTGAACTGTTGTCATTTGAAGCCTTACCACAATAACTTTTCTCATATATTTTATAAAGCATTTATTGATATTACAGATATTATAGATTGTTGTTTCAAGCTGCAGTAGCCCTTTCATTTTTCTGTCCAAATGTCTGAATATACCAATATGGCATACAATTTTCAAAAGTATAAATATAAAGTAGCTGAAACTATTATACAGAGTAATGAAGCTTGACACTTTGTTTTCCTTTTACCAAGTCAAAACTTTTTTTTTTTTTTTTTTTTTTTTTTGTGGTTTATTTTTTTGACCCTGCGGTAAAGTGGTTCTGTAGTGACCCTGATAAAGTAAAAAATATTTATTTTTTTCTGAAAAAAAAATCCTAAAACGAATGGCTATTAAATATTTAACATTTTACTAATAAATGCATACAGATAGGCAAGCTATGAAATGGCTACAGCAGCTTTGAACTATGCATTTCTAAGCAGATTATGGCACATGTGAACTAGGTATAAGGAAACCTTTTCTGGCAAACAAAAACGCCTCGATTTAAAAATCCCCTACATTCTGATTCTACAGTAGCAGGGCTGAAACCTGCTATGGGCCATTTTTTTAAATCATTAAATCAACATATTGGAAAGATTTTAAACCAGAAGTCAGGAGAGATTCACCCATGTAGCATGACAACAGCTGGTATGCAATTCAAAATCAGACAAGGAGTTTGGCCATATAGCTTTATCATACATGTGGATAAGTACACAAAAAATGTTGAGTAGCTAGTTTAGCAATATGGTTAGAGCACTTATGAAAACAGACATTGTAAGAATTACGGTTTATTTAATTTGTGTTAAGAAAGCTGCGAGCTGCCCCAGTCTTAAAAAAGGACCAGATCTGTACAATAGGAAAAAAATATGATGTGAGCAAAAGAAAATAGAAAGTCCATTTGTAAAAACTGAGAGAAACTGCTCGATTCAAACAGTAGCTTAAAAAAGGCACAACTTCCCTTTTCTGTGTACACTTGTAAACTTTCAGCAGATTCCATGCATCAATCAAATTCTTGCTTTTCCCAACAAGATTGGAAAAAAACCCCAAAACACCTGACAGGAAAATGAAAGAAAAAAAAAAAAAAGCAAAACAAATCTATCTAAAGCAAAAATTGCTACCAGGTTATTCACAATGCAGACTGGTTTAATTATCTCTTATGCTTCCCATTTCAGTCATAGGAGTGAAATGATGAATTTTCAATAGTCCAAATCTTGGCCCTCTGTAAACCACATAAACTGTAGTGCATAATTACATTAGGTACACCGTTGCAAGGACAATTACCAAGTCTGATTTTTCTGTTTCAATACAGTAAAAGCTATAATTTGACTTATTCTTTCCTTAAGGCAACTTTTTATGCTTATATATTTATATATCATTTTAGTAAGGCAGTCACTTCTGATGAAATAAAAGTTTTCTGATATTTCCAGATGAGTATTTTGGTATCTGATTGCTGATAATTTCCGATAACATCTCTGGAAATTCAACACTCAATGATTTGTCCGTGAAGGAATAGAAGCAAAAGGCTAGGAGATTTTCAACCACCTAAAAAAGAAAAGACAAATATTTTCACAATGTGGAACTTTCCTCTTGTTCTTTCCATGGCTAATGCAGTTGTAAGTTAGACCACTAGAAACCTAAATCAATTTTTAGTCTGTACAATTTTTAATAGTATACTGTATTGGGAACACATTTTGTTTTGGACAATCCATAATACTAGATATGACATTTATTTTATTGGAATAGTAATGTGCATTTTATAATACCCAGATTCACTGTATATAAGTAATTTTTAATGGTTTGCTGTAAACTGAAGTCTGACCATTTACTATAAATGTCTCTTCAGCACTACTGTGATTTTTTAATTAAATAGCACTGTAAGACTTGGCTTCCCAACATTATAAAAAGGTTTGCGCCTTTGTATTGGACTTTGATGCTGCCTATTTTCAGACAAGGCACATTACTGTTTAAAAGTGACAATAAACAATATTTATTTGCTCCATAAAAGAAACATATAAATAAATATAAAAACAAAGAAAGAGAAAAAAAAAAGAGAAACTTGAAAAAAAAGGGGGACGTGCCCCCAAAACATGTTGTCATGGCAAGCCAAAGATTTGCAGTGCTTCTCTCTGGTGGCTGGCATGCTTCCTCTTCCAGTGTGTACCAGCTTGGCCTCCCACAAGCCTCATAGGGCAAACAGGGTAGAATGAAATCTCCTCCTACAAGCTTTAACCAGTGCTCTGTTGGACACTGATAGAAGTCACAAGACTGCTCTAACTGCTGATGAGAAAAGGCTGTTTATATTTACTAAAATAATTGCATTTCCATGTACTGTGGGAGACCAGATATAGTGCGTGCAGGGTCCTGGGTTTAATAACACTTTAAAGAATCTGTCAGGTTTTTTTTTTTTTTTTTTATTGTGGTGAGATTTTCTCTTTCTTGAAGGTAATCTGGCTAATAGGAACACAAACTGCAATTAAAACATTGCATGTACGATGTAGCCTAACACAATATAGGAGCTGGATCCTTGCATGGCTCTAGTTTTGTCTGCCACTACTTGAAGAGGTTCTGCTAATCTACTGCATCAGTGATCATACAAATAAATAGGACAAAAACTTTGAACTGGGAACACAGCAATAAAATCCTAACAGTGGTTTGTAATCAATCCCCACTCTATCCTGGAGTGACATAAAACAGTGTATCAGTTAGTGCTTGCCTCATGTCTCTCAAACTCAATATTAGGGCCACCTTCACAGGGCCATTTAGCCACATACACCAGATTCCAACAGCAAGAATTAGCAGATTCTTACAGCTGGAATGATAGGTGCATGTGAATAGTGACGGCCTCTCAGCCTACAGCTAGGCTAATGACAGGCTGACAGCAGCCATCACTCTTCGCATGTAGCCGCACGCCATAGTGTTACCTGTGGTTAGGGATGGGTGTCTGACTCTGAAAGCAGTCAGTTGCGTCCAGACTCGGACATCTGCTCCTAACTGCAGGTAACAGCTTAGTGTGTAGCTGATCAACTGATTCTGGAATCTGATGTATGCAGCTAAATGGCCACATAAAGGAGGCCTAACAGGGAGATTTCTAATAAAATGCCTTTACTTACTCCTGCTCATTAGGTTTTTCACCAATCCAGCTTGGTAAGCTTGGCTCCATGACAGCCCTTTCTTCCTCAATCAATTATTACCAGAATTCATAAAATAAGTATATCCAATAAAAAAAAAAGTAATTTGGGTCCTAGGACAGAAAACTGTGATGCTAAAAAGAGATGTATAGCTACTAAGTGTTGTCACATCTCAGGCTGGAGCCAAAATATCAACATATGTAGCAGTGTGGGAAAAAGCTGCCCTGTAGTTGTAGTAGTTACATTATGGCTGCTGATAATAAATGATTGAGGCAGAATGGATCGACATGGAAAGAAGCTTTCTCAGCTGGATTTGTGAAACATCTTAATTGTCAGGAGTAGGTAAAGGAATTTCTTTTTGAAATCTGAGACTGAAAACTGAGTTTGAGAGACTTGAGGCGACTTTTTTTAAGTTTACACATTATTAAAAGTTGAAAATATCTAAGACCCCGGTCACACTGGATGCGATTTGGCATGCGACTTGCAAATCGCAGCCTATTATTCGCAATTAGAGCGGTCATATCGGTGCGGTTTCGACTTGGTCGGAGCCGCACCAAGTTCTCTAGAGTAGTATATGCACTACTTTTGGTGCGATTTGCATAGACATCTGTATCAGATGTCTTGCAAATCGCACCTGAAACCGGCATGTCATCCAACTTTGAAATCGTGCAACTTCACTGTAAGTTGCACGATTTCAAAGTAGGGTTTCATGTGACCAGGGTATAGGGGCAAACATGCCAAAAAAAATATATAGATAAATAAAAAAAAGCAAAACTAAACAAGGGCAAAAGCATATACATTGGGAAAAGAAAATTGGCCTTCTCACAATTAAACAGATCTCAATATATTTATGGATAAGAAAAGATCTGAGTAATACATCAACAGCCAAGCTTATTCTTCTATGATGTGATATGAATGCCACCATGCTTACCTCATGCATTGTATCCATTAGCTTTGTCAGTTGGTAAAATCGCTGCCAGTTTTGACTGGAATTTCCTTCCCTCTTTACTATGGCTTTTCCAAGTTCCTTAATATAGGTCATTCGAATTTCCTCAAATAGTGAGTGGCTTTTCAGGCCATCCTTGGGGACTACAAATTAACATACCAGACATTTAACTTCCTTGAAGCAGCAAAAACATCTCTTACAGGTTTGTATATATTTTATATTGACTAAGAAATACCTTTAATTCTTTTCATATATTTATTTAGGTAAATATGAAATATTGATATTTATTGTTGTTTTCTAGTCAATTGATGGAGCTCTAACTCATTTTCAAATGTTCAGCTCTCTACTCTTAGTTGCTCTATTGAAAAAGATCAGTTTACGGAGCTCAATAGCTCAAGCTTAATTTTTACATATATAACTGAATAAAGTCAGGAGTCACTTATACCACCCTTGCTCGCTCCCAACTGTTTTCAGACACCTTTTGAAGTTTCAATCAGAACAAAAGTATTTAAAGGCAAGCAAATAGATAATTAAAACCATAATTCTTAGTGAAACCAATGTCAAGTATTTATTTGTAAATTAATAGTTTCATGCATTTTTTATACAAAATACACACAAATGCAACAAAATTATTACTAAATTTAAAAGATCAAACTACGTTTTAATTGTGCCTTTTTTGAAAATCAAATGAAAACTAAACTGTAAGTAAGCAACTTAAAGTGTATCTAAAGTAATAAAAATATTTTCCTTTACACACATTTTAGGCTAAAAACTTTGAAACCATCTGCCTGTTGTGGTGTACTATCTGATTTTATGTGCATTGTGTGACAGTAAAGTGATAGCAAAGTGACAGTGTCTGTAAAAAAAAAAGTGCACCCCACCCCCACTGCCATTCACCTTTCCAGTGATCCCCCGCTGTTGCTTCCTTCACTACTTGTGTGTTGCATTAATGTGTGGTAAAACACGCTTTACTACAAGTTACTGCAATGCACAACAACATGTGTCATTCAATTTGCCACCCCAAATTTAATACAGCAGTGAGCAATGTTACCACCACTGTTATATTTTGAGTGGCATCCCAATGCACCTGCATTGTAGTGCACTGCAACAAGCACTGCATTAAAAAAAACAAAAAACCCTTTACACGCACTTGAACTTTAATGGCATCCCAGTCTTACTCTGTAGGGTTCAATATAGAGCTGGCCCACCCTTTTGTAGCTATAACAGCTAAAATCTGTGTGTGTGTGTATGGAGGGGGTATTTTTTTAAAATGTATATAATATTTATTTTTTTACAATTTTAAACTTTAGGTTTTTTTTTTTTTTAAACTTAGTATTTTCACTAGAGGTTTTAGTCCCTGAATGGCAATGCATGCAAAGCCACATCCTCTTTAGAGACATTCCTGATGGCTCTCCTTTGTGCCAACAAAATCAACTGAGGACACGAGAGTCCTTGGTCTCCTTCCCTGGCACACCAATGAACACAGAAGTGCCCGTGAAGGTTAGCTGCCATCCACATCTGTTCTAATTCCAGGCAGTTCTGGGCACCAAATGGTTGGCTGTAAGTTTTTGCTCAGTGAAGTGGCCATAAACTTCCAGCGTGTAATATTGCAGTGGACATATGGGCTACTGAGCCAACCTACTGCAGGCAGGTCTGTTCTGCCATAAACTTTCCATCCATGGCAGTAAAAGGGTTAATGGGAGGGAAATATATATTCAGCCTTTATGCCAAACCTTTAAAAATGTTTAAACATTACAAATTTTGATGGTTTCATGGAATGCGATGGAAATCAGTTGTTTTTTCTGCTGCCTTCTGAATACCTAATTCATGTGTGTGTTTTGTGGAATGTGCTCCTGAGCCACTGTTAGTCTCGAGCCGTGTGATAGGGGGGAGCAGGAAAGGCTCTAAAAGAGAGGACCTTCTTCCACAGCCATGGGAGAGTAGCATAGGGAGATATAAAAAGTACGTGCCTGCTCCACTATATACTGAGCTCTCTATATCACATAAAAGGGAATTTTAACATAAAGGCTGTGTCAGTGTAGTAATTGTTCACCACAGAAATTATTTAAAAGCAATTAGAAAATTGCAAGCATATTTTCTAAAGAAAACAAATAATGATTCACAGACAGTGGATATTCTACATTATCATTAGCATGCAAATAGTTCCCCTTTAAGCTAGTCTGACAGGATTCTGCTGTACCCTCAATTGTATGTAGTTTTAGAATAATTTCCTTACCTTATTCACAACATAGCATGCAAAATTAAAGACTGACTTATCAATGTTTTGTTTGCTGCCAAGCTTTTAAAAGAGAAAAATAGGTTGAACCCTTATCTTTCAGAAATATACATTATATTGCCAAAAGTATTGGGATGCCTGCCTTTACACGCACATGACCTTTAATGGCATCCCCGTCTTAGTCTGTAGGGTTCAATATTGAGTTGGCACACCCTTTGCAGCTATAACAGCTTCAACTCTTCTGGGAAGGCTGCCCACAAGGTTTAGGTGTGTGTCTATGGGAATATTTGACCATTCTTCCAGAAGCGCATTTGTGATGTCGGATGAGAAGGCCTGGCTCACAGTCTCCACTCTAATTAATAATTAAGGTTGAGGTCTGGACTCGCTCATCCATGTCTTTATGGACCTTGCTTTGTGTACTAGTGCACAGTTATGTTGGAACAGGAAAGGGCCATCCCCAAACTGTTCCCAAAAAGTTGGGAGCATTAAAGTATTCAAAATGTCTTGATATGCTGATGTCTTAAAAGTTACCTTCACTGGAACTAAGGGGTCAAGCTAATCCCTCAAAAACAACCCCACACCATAATCCCTCCTCCACCAAACTTTACTCTTGGCACAATGCAGTCAAGGAAGTACCGTTTTCCTGGCAACTGCTGAACCCAGACAATTCCATCGGTTTGCCAGATAGAAGCTTGATTCGTCACTCCAGATAACACATCTCTACTCCTCTACAGTCCAGTGGCAGCGTGCTTTACACCACTGCATCCAACGCTTTGCATTGTACTTGGGGATGTAAGGCTTGGATGCAGTTGCTCGACCATGGAAACTCATTTCATGAAACCTATATGCACTGTTGGACTAATCTGAAGGCCACATGAAGTTTGAAGGTCTTTAGCTATTGATGCCGTAGACGGTGACTTCTGAGCATTCTGTGCTTCAGCATGTGCAGATAGCTCTTTGCCATTTTATGTGGCCTTCAACTTTGTGGCTGAGTTGCTGTTGTCCCCAGTTGCTTCCACTTCGTTAAAATACCACTAACAGTTGACCGTGGCAAGTAGCAAGGAAATTTCATGGATGGACTTATTGCACAGATGGCAACCTATCACGGTACCACGCTTGAATTCACTGAGTTCCTGGGAGCGACCCATTCTTTGCAGGGTGTCCCAATACTTTTTGGCAAATATGTGTGTGTGTGTGTGTATATATATATATATATATATATATATATATATATATATACACACACATACACACACACAGTATGTCTTTTTGCCAATGTAGACTTCAGGTAATATAAATAATACTTATACTGTCAAATTTTCCTCCATGGACGTGGAATTCCTTTGCATAAACAAAGCCCAGTACTTTGCGACAACCAAGCAGTGGGCTTCCAAATAGAAAAGAGAGCAACAGTGGTGTCATATGCTGTTAGGCAGGATAGTCGTGTACATTAGTACAGAAAAGAAAGCTCCTACCACTAGATGATTGCTGAGTTTTTTTGCATGACATAATCTTGCCAGCCATGACATTCCTTGTAAGAGGTGCTGGCTCTTAATTTGACAATAAGTTTTTTCCAGATGAAGGGTTATTGTTACTCTGAAATTTCTGTGATGCTCTGGCATGGGGGCAGTATAAATGCTTATAGCACATCATAGTGTTCTTCTTTAAAATGAACGTGTGCTCTAGACATGCAAGGCAAAGCACCTAATTCACTATTATGCTACTGCCACAGTTGCACATGCTCAACCTGCCTTTGCTCTCCTTCACCTTGGGAGGTAAAGTGACATTCCTGGCTCTTTCCAGTGCCATCATATGAGGGCATGGAGAGAGTCCTTAACACTGTGTAGGCTCCAGGATACAACTTGGGAGTTTAGAGAGGGCTTATCTTCACTCTCTGGAGCAGCAAAGGAAAGGCAAGTATAAGCAGCTGTTAATACTCTATGCAGTGTATTATTCAGTTAGTCTCTATGTTCTGTTTCTGCATAAATGTACAGTATATAGTAATCTAAGAGCCTTTTTTCCTTCAATACACAAAAAATACCTGTACAAAGGAGTAACAAGGTCTTCATGCAGAGGTATTCATCATATGAAATCTGGAGACGAGTCATCTCCTTAACAATCCGGAACATGTCTTGAAATCGCTCATGCATGTATGGTAAATTCATCCTCTCCCTTGAAAAAAAAAAAAAAAGAAGAAAAATGTAAATGCTGCCATCTTTGAAGATGTGCTATTTTGCCATAGTTTCAAGTCAAAAGTAAAAGTGACACATACATACTCAGAGAAGCTGTTGAATTGTTCTTAAGAAATTTCACACTTAGGCAAACGGTATCATTTAGGTTTTCCTAAAGTACTGATATCAAACTACATCAATAGGTTATATTAATGGGGTACTTATACTCTCTATTTTACAATGAGCCTAAATTCCTGAAAACGTTGATATGGTCTATCTCAGGACATTCTGGGCTTCTTTATATCCAACAATCCCTAAATCTGTCCAACCACTTTCATACTTCTCCTCCACGATAGAAAACAGACAAGAGGTTAATAAAAATATATCAAATGGTTTTCCTTTGAAAGAAGACTAGCATTGTTTTCAGTTTTTACAGGGTCCTCAAATTACTGAAAAGAACAGCCGATAACATTTATTTTTAATATAATTGTATGAAGACAGGGATATCAAGCTATCAAGCATAATACAAGACAAGTTGAAGGTTACATGATTCAGAGAAGTTTAAAGCCTACATTTAGCCTAAATTACAAACATATAAATTAGCACAAGGGACATAATTTACATTTAGTATGATGAATCCCTTGTACTGATTTTCTTGGTTTAGGAGAAATCTTTGTTTTCCTATCTATTCCTATCTGCTGTAGCTATGATCCTTCCATGTGATAACGGTTAATACAACTGAGGGACTATTAGGAGCCCTGATCAAGAGAAGTCTACTATGCCCACCCTTTCCGTCCCGCTGTGCCATTCATAGAAGCCATACTACAACTTCTATGAATCACACAAGATCTCTGAATGAGGAATGGGTGGGTGACTGATAGCTCTATCACACTGGGAATCTCGACTTGAGGGTCTCCTGATCAGGATTCAGTTATGCAGTGGTGTACATCAACCATTAGCGAGGAGCAAGGAAACCTGCCACTGCAATTGAAGTAGAAAGAGTCTGTTCTGAGCAGAATTTCACATTACATTCTTGTCTGAAGTTCACATCCCTCAGTTGTGAGTGTCTTAAACCGGGGGGGACGTTTGTCTCTAAACTCAATGTGTCCCAGAACCTGTGTCACAGGTGAGGGATGCTGGATGTGGACCTTTCGGCCTCTAGATTCAACAAAGCATTAACTGCTTCTGTCTGGCTCTGGCAGAGCAAAAACCAACGGAATGAGCAGGCGAGAAGCTGCAAAGTCTGTAGGGAATAAAGGAAGGCACGTCTAACAACGTAAAAGGAGATTTTTCAAGTAAGCTTATATTGGATTGTCAGAAATGACTATTTTTGACAATCCAAGCAATTGGATTGTATGCACGCAAGTGTATGGATGGAGTACATGTTACTACTTGTGAAATGTTGTGCCATTGTTTCATTGGTAGTTTAAAATAATTTTTTAATACATGATCTACACCATCAGAGACTTTTTAAGTATACCACCAGAGACTTTGAAATATACAATCAAAGAAAGGTGGTACAGGCAGCTTCTATTATGCGATATGTGAACTATACCATACTATGCTCATTCAGACCTATGTCATTCAAAGTCCATCCTATCTTGTAAGCTCATATTTGGCATGCGGTGGCCATGTCCTGTATAGAACCTTTTCTGATTTTATGCAAGGATAAGTTGGTTTTTAAGGCCTAGAGGGTCAATCCTTCTTTCCCAAGGTGGTTCCAGCCATTTACCATAACCAGGATATTGTGCTCCTTCCCTCTGTCCAGCCCCTGTACATTGGAGGGAGGTTTTTCTTCATTGTCTGAATGTAGTTTGATCTGTGCCTGTCTACTTCACAGCCACTGCCTCCATTAGAAAGACTGACTCTCTCTTTTTCATCCCAGTCACTAACTCTATTAGAAAGATTGACCCTTTTTTATCCTTGCTGGTCACCATAAAGTGGTACCAGCTTCTCAATTCACCATTTCTTGGTGGATCAGACAAATTATCATTCAAGTTTATGGTCTTAAATGATCAGGTTCTACCCTTTCCTTATAAGGCACACTACTAGATATGTGAGTACTTCTTGGCTTTTTGGCATCAGACAACTGTTTCCTAGATGTGAAATCCACCTGTCCTTCTATTCAAATACTCTCTTCTTCATCTTATATATGCTTTTTAAACACATTGTCACCATATCTGTAGCCAGGTTAGGAGCAGTATAAAAAAAAAGATATGTATGAAAGTGGTGATCATAGCAGAAGGGTGCCAAACGTGTGTCTATAGGTTCCAATTACAGAAATCCAGCTCTAATATGGCTTTAAAACTATTTTAATTTTTTTCCAGCCAAAGAAAGGTGTTCTAGGTGAAGATTATGAAAATGCTATATTTTGAAGGCTTTTATTAATTAGCTTAATGGTATTTTTCATATGAAAAGCTACAGTGGTGCTGTTTACAGCACTCTGCTCTGGTTATGCAATATGAGCCCAGAGAGAAGCCATAAAAGGGATACAGTTGGAGGAAGGAATGTTTGATTCCAAGTCACAGCTCGGAGTACGTGTTAACAGACGCAATTCTCTTCAGCTGCACGCTTACTAAGGAGATTAACATCTCAAAATGCTACGCTATATTCAAAATATGACAAATAAAAACTATTAGACTCTGTCAAAAGAGCACTTTCAGTAGCCCATACAGCAGTGTACAGCGCTTTCACATGAGCACAGGCAAGCTTTTAATAAACGTACTGGTTAATACAGCAGCATATCAGTTTAAACATTAGTTTCTACCTTGCATTGTTAAGGACTGTAAAGCATGGATAATTTCATGCCAATGAAATAAATGAAAAATGCAATTAAAATGCATTATAGCACCATATAAGGGCACCTGGGATGTTGAACATTACATACATTTCACATGGCCGGGTAGGTGCAGTTGCCAGATCCCTGGACAAGAATCTGTCGATTCTTGCTGCTAGAATGACCTGGTTATACGATCAGCATTGGCTGCTCAGCTCATTTCAACTAATGGCGGGCTGACAGCAGCCACTGCTGTTCGAATGTAGCCACACACAGCAGTGGATAGGGACAGATGTCCGAGCCTGGATGCAGCTGACTGTCCCTATCTGCAGCTATCTTCTCTGTGTGTGTCTAAATGAGAACAGCAGCAGCCGCTATCAGCCCACCAATGGGCAGAGTGGCTGCTGCTGATTGCAGTACTGGGTCATTCCAGCAACAAGAATCCACAGAATCTTTTTGCAGGGAATTCAGCAGCTGGGCCAACCTGGCTGTGTAAAGGAGGCGTAACAGTATGTGCAAGAACAGATTGATGCCTTCACATGTATTTGTTGTTCTGAGATTTTATTACAGTGAAGTCAGATGACAAGTTTAGTTTTACATATTTTAGTGGAGTCCATCTAGTCCAACCAAAAACCAAACAAACAAAACAAAAAAAAAACAACACACACAAATAGAACACCTCCATATAATCTATTCTATGCCCATAGTTGATGCAGAGGAAGGCAAAAAAAAACCAATAAACCATGATCCAATTTGCTCCGGTGGGGGAAAAAATCCTTCCTGATCCCCCATTACTTCTAAATATTGATATCCAGTTATATTTTGTGCATTTAAAAATGCACTCAAGCCTTTTTAAAATCAAACTACTGAGCTGGCCAGAACCAATTCTTGAGGGAGTCTATTTCACATTTTTACAGCTCTTACTGTGAAGAAGCCTTTCCACATGTAAAGGTTTAATCTCTTTTCCTTCACTCATAAAGGGTGCCCCTTGTCCTCTGTAATTACCTGAAAGTGCATATCTGAAAATCAAGTTCACTATATGGACCACTGTTGTAATATATTGTAATTGTAATTGTAAAGGATGGTGATTAATATAATATCTCCACAGCAACAAGTTCAACAGTTCTTTTCCAGAGAGAGACATTTAACCATATTCCATAACATTCCACAAGGTACTTGCAACAGATGACAAAATCCAGCAGTTTTTTCATGTTAAAATCAATTATATATATTATTCATTATGGAAGAACAAGTCTAGATTATATAACACACATTACTGCAAGCATAGAAGCTACCTAGGTGCATATTATAGATTGGATATATGCTGTATGGTGTAGTGTCTCTATGCTTGTTATGAAATGAAAGACGAATGGGAAGTTGAAGGATGCTGTTCATTGTAATACTTACAAATACTCTACTGGATTTTCTCATTTGTTGCAAGAATCTTGTGGACTGTTCCGGAACCATATAAATGTCTCTCTAGGAAAGAACCATTGAACTCATTGCTGCAGATACGTATTATCATCCTTTATGTAGGACAACAACCACTTATGTATTATACATGTTGATCACATCTCCCCTTAAAGTCTTTTTTCCAGAGAGAATAAATTCCCGCCCTGTAAGGACTCAATTCCACTACATAGCTTGGTCTCATCTGCAAACACTTAAATGGTACTTTTAATCCCAGACCTTATATAATTTATAAATATGTTAAAAAGTAACGGTCCCAATACAGAACCTCGGAGTACACCACTAACAACCCTAGACCATTCAGAGTATGAATCTTTAATAACTACTCTCCAAAAGCAGTCTTTTATCCAGGTGTTCATCAATTTAAAAACTGAATTTGAAAAGCCTGCGGACTGTAATTTACACATTAGCCACTGTGTTCAACACTTTGACAAAATCCAAGTGTACAATATCCACATCCACTACTAAATTTTTGCTTACCTCCTCACCTTCCATAACTATAAAGCCACTATAGAGCTGACTGAGAAGCACAGCCATAACTAGTAATACTTCAAAACCCCTTTACCTTGTTGGATATACTCATCGAACCTGCGGGACTAAAATTGTGTGGGTGTCTCTCATGCATGTGCACAATGGCTTACTTTCATTTCGGTGGAAGGCCTATCCATGTTTGTGGATGGGCCTTCCACTGAAAAAAAATAGAGATTCTCATTGCATCAGGGGAGCATTGGCAGACTGGGAGAATTTTGAAGAAA